TTATCACAGTCAGAGGCGGCCATAGCTTTTGCAGCCTTTACCTCTTTGTTCTTCCGGTCAAGCGGCTTGCGAAGGCCGTTCACTCGGAGCAGGGCCTAAGTAAAAAGGGGAACAGGCGTCAGTTTCCAAACAAAAAGATAACAGGCGTCCTGGAATTCAAATACTCAAAAAAGGCTAAGTATACCTCAGCAAGGACCCCTGCAATCCCATCAAGGTCAAGGGTGCCGACACCCCTGACCGCCTCCCTTTCAGATGGAGGAACTGCTTTGATCATGGACTTGGCTACCTCTACCAAGTCAGGCTCCTGAGGGCCGGCTGCATCTAGCGTAAAAAAGCAAGTTAGACCTAGTCAAGAAGGAAGCAAGTGTAAAAGTTTTTACAAGTAATTGTCCATACTTCTAGGCGGCCCCGCCGGAGTTTTAGAAGAAGTGGCCGGCTGCTTCTCAGCCGCCACTGTTTTCCTGGAAGACCCAGGAGAGCTTGCAACAGTCGTCCTCCGGGCCTTGGGGTCCGGCTGTTGCGAGGAAGAAGCTCTTGGAGTGCCCGACTGAAAAAAAAAAAAAAGTTAGTATATGCATAAGACAACAACTCCTAAAAGAGGAAGAGTTTCGAAGCCCACCAAGGGTGCCCCCTTGTTGGGGGAGTCGGTACAAGGCTGTTGCATGAGAGAGGCCCGCAACATGGCCGCCGCAGTCTTGGATGCTGTTATTTTACTCATGGCGTCAGCTGCAAAAAAATAAACAGCAAAGTTAGTAAAAATCCCAAGTAAAAACAAGGCGTGAAAAAACAGAGTATTTGTCAGGCCGGCTACCTCTAGAGCACCGACTGCTGAGGCCACAGGCGGCCAAAAAGTACTCGTCATAGAGCCACTTGAAGCTCGGGACGCAGTTTAGGGGTACTTGCTCTCGTACCCCTGAAGTAGAGTTCACCCTAGTCTCTACTTTGAAGAGTCCTTTGTCTAGGATCTCTTTTTTAGCCTTTGGGGGAACAGGCGGCATGCTGCGGCCGCCTGCGAGAAAAGGAGGATCCCTATTCCACTTGTTAAAGCGTTTGTTCAGCTCCGTGTCTGAACCCTCGATGATAAGGAAGGTGTTCCGCCAATCCTTCCATTTGTTCGCCTTACCTCTCGTCATGAGGTAGCCCCTATGGCTTGTTAATTGATACCAGCCAGTACCGCCCAACTTAGGGGTCCGGCTGAGATAGTTCATGTGGGCGAAAGGCTCAAAGCTTGGCTCCACCCCGTACATTTCGCACCCGGCCACATAGCCGAGTACGTTTACCCAAGAGTTGGGGGCTAACTGCCATAACCCCAAATCATACCCATCTAAAATCCGCTGAACAGCCGGATGTAATGGGAAGCGCAGTCCAGCTTTGATGGCCGCCACATAGCAGCCAAAGCAGCCGTCATCATAGCTGGTACCAGCCGGCCAGACGACAGTGTCTTCTGGATCTGGCACGAACAGTAAAAATCCGGGGCCCATTCTGTGGTTAGCCATAAAGCTCTCCATTTTGTCTTGCATGGCTGCGATCCGGCCCCGGGGTACCGTGCAGTAGTAGGGGGTGTTTTCCTCTCTGTAAGAGGCGGACGGCTCCGCCCAATTGCCCCCCTTCTCAACTGCATGAGAAAGCCTCGCCTCTTGTAGGCGGCTGTTTCTTTCTTCTGAGCCTGGAGAAGCGTGGCCAGAAGATCTGGACTCGGACTCGTCCTCTTACGAGTCCGAAGAGGACGACTCCTCCCCTCTCCCAGAGGGGCCCGCCTCCTCTCCCTTAGAAGGAGCAGGAGAAAAGTTAGACATATCAACGGTAAAATGGGAAGGGACCACCTTGACCCCTCCCTCAGAACTGTCGGCTTGGCAGCCGCCTTGTTTCACTTCTACATCTGGCGCCTGGTCAGATGTTTCACTAATGGGCACCCTGTGGGAGGAAACGTCCGAGTTTGAGATCCTAGCAGTCTTTTTTGTTCTGGCCATCACGTTCTGCATAGACACAGATACAGTCGGACTTTGTATAAAGGGCAAAGATGGGTCCAGAAAAGGGCAGGCGGCACTCCTAGTCCTAGATTCAGCCGTCCCCGGTGACCGGCTGATCACTAACTTAGGTCGTGTCGTGTGCTTCCATGGTGCCATTTCAAAAAAATAATAATAAGAAAAAAAATTAAGAATAAGAGAAGCGACGGTTACCTGAACGAGTGACGACTGATGAAATTCTGAAATCCTTTGCAAACGGCTTGTCAGAGCAGGCGGTAGGCAACAAAATTCCAAAGTGTCAGAGCAAGTTCAGGGGTCCGAATGTTCTCTCGCAAAGTTCTCAAATGTGAAAATGACCGAAGTCAGCACTTCCTTATATAGGCAAAGTGAGAAGGCGAAGGGTCGCTTCCAAATTCAAAATTTGGGCGGGAAAACCTCTCGGCCATTTGCAAGGTGACACCTGTAGCAGGCCGTCGCCTGTCGCCGTGCGACACCTGTCACAGGTGACACGTGACCAGTCACGTGCCACCTGTGAGAGGCAAATGATTAGGGGATTTTTATCCACCAATCACCGTCTGACAAGTGGACCAACCAGGTTCCGCCACGTGTCCTTCACGTAGGCCAATAGGATCCTGCCACGTGTCAATCACAGATACGTCCTCTACGGACCAATTGAGACACGCCACGTGTCCACCCATGCCAAATGGGAAAACCGGCCAACAAGGCCCAATCCTGTTTAGAGGCCCAGTCAGCCCTAGGTTTACCCTAAACCTAGAGAGTGGCACGCTTCCCGAGGTTATAAATACCCCTCTTAATCCTCATTAAGAGGGAGAGGACTCGAAAACAACACACGGATTCAGCAATTAATGACTCTCACCTAGAGAAAACCAAAATACATTGATCACTCCTCCCCTAGAGGAACCAGATCTCCTCCCTTTACTTTCCGCACTTATTACTCCTTAATCAGGTACTAACTTGACCGTTGGAGGCGGAGCTCCTACCACAAGGAGTCTTCGTTGTTTTGCAGGTACAGGCGTCCGGTTCCAGTCTCGGAATTGTAACTCTCCCGCAGGACATCAGAAAACCCCGAAACACATTCGATTACAATCAGATGAATCAGACGAAAATTTTATTCACGACTACAACAGATCGATAGACTCTCTCGTCGTAGAAGGCTGTAAATCACAGCGATATGAAATAGGGTATGAAAATGACCGATTTGCAACAATGATCGTAACTCTGTTGAAAGGATTTTTTTATTTGTTCAGTTTTCCTGTATTTAATTATTAGATTTAAATCTCTTTGTAGATGTTGTATGACTTTTTATTTATGAATCAATCTTTATTTTATTTTTTTTAAAAAAATCAACATCAAATAAAAATAATCAAGTACATCTATAACTTATACTAAAATAACAACCGCTGACATCATCCCTTTTCCAAATTGTACACATGTCAACTTCTCCTTCAATTTTTTCCCACTTAAACTTTTATTTTTTTCTCTTCTAATTTTTTTTTCTTTTTTTTATTTATGAAAAGCTAAATATTGATTGTAAAGTGCTTTTATACGATACATTATCTTAAGGTACATATAATTAATCTTAAGGAAAGCAAATATTAACCCTCTATATATGTGATTACTCCGTCTAATTACAAAGTCTACTAAATTTTGTTGTAGACATGAATTTTCTTTTGTTTATACAAGTATTATTTTAATTTTTGTAGTTTGGTTTATGTTCTGATTGATAATATGACTTAAAAATATACACAATTATAAATTCTTTTTATTATATCTATGCATTGCACAAAAGCTAATCTAATATTATATTAAAATGAAGCTCAAAATTAAGATATTTGCCGCTTATGTTTTGACTAAAAAGTGTGCCAATGCATATCTCGATTATCTTAATTATCATTATTTTTAATTACAAATTTTTCTTATACAATAAGAATGATAATTTAAAAGATTCTCTCACATAATAAATAATTGCAAATTTTCTTAACATATAGAGGTTTTTTTTTTTTTTTTTTTTTTTTTTTTTTTTTTTGGTCTACATATTTTTTTTTTGACTATATCATTCATCATTTTTGATGAGGTGGCCAATAGTTTGGTAATGTGGTTAAACTCTCTCCATCCATAATTTAACATTCCATATTTCCTGAAATTTTTGTCCCTACTTAAAGTTTTTGGTCTCTCAAATTCAATGTTTTTTTTATTTTTTATTATTTCCGTTAAATTAGACCAATCCGAATTGTATCATGGTACGAAACATAAAGGATTTATTCTCCAAATCAAACTCATAACATCATATACATTTAGATCTGTACATACAATTTGTACAAGGAGGCTGTAATTGGATTATAATTAGAAATCATGCATCCATGCTTTTGTCATATATAGTATAGGGATCTTTAGCGGATGCAACTTTTCTTCTTCTTCTTCTTCTTCTTCATCTATGATATAATGCAATCACTTCTTTATTGAGCATCTCTTCTTCGGCGTTCCCTTTCATCACCGTGTAGAATCCAAGAGCTTAGGCCCCGTTTGGTTTGATGTAAAATGTTTTCACGGAAAATGATTTTTCCATTGTTTCTCATTTTTCTTTGTTTGATTTGTGAAGAAGTGAAAAATAATTTTCCCAATGGTGAAAAATTGCATTCATAATGGTGAAAACATATTCTTTCACAAAATAAGGGAAGCCACATTTTTCTCTTTTCTCATTATCTCCTTTTTACTTTCCTTTCATACATCCCCACATGTCCACTTATATTTTTAATTTGTCATTACCTTTTCTTGTAAGAACCAAACAAAGGAACTATATTGCAAGTGTGGTTTTCCTTGAAAATGTGTTTTTCATGAAACTAATTTTTCATTGAAAATGTTTTACATTGAACCAGACGGGGACTTAGTGTAAAATTTTTAAGGCTATTGGAAAATTTCGTAATGTAACCTTGGTTGTATTGCACTTTCCCTAGGTTTTTATTTTTTTTTATTTTTTTTGACAACAACAAAAAGAAAAGAACGACTAAAAAACTAAAAAACATCAAAAACAGCGGGAATAGAGAAACTATTTAAAGTAACCCGACAGTGGTTAGCTATATGATGAGTGAGACTGACTTCCGCTCTATCAACCTTGAGAATGATGCAATGCTGAAAGGTGCTTTCGATTTTAATAATCTCCTTCCAAGTCCAGAAAAGGTGAATATCCGAGGGTCCCTTCTTCTTAAGTGACGTGACAAGTAAGGCAGAGTCAGTTAAGATCTTTATTGACCTATAACCATTGTCACGGGCCCATCTTAAAGCATAAAGGCAAGCCCAAAACTCAGTTTGCAAAGTTGAGACCGCAATTCCAGAATTACCACCAGCCTCCCTTTCCCCACGGCTACGCAGCTCTATCGTCCATCCTACCACGTAGTGTTTACTAGCCTTATGCCATGATCCATCAGCTCGAATAGTACCTAGAGCTAAAGAATCGTTGAAAAGTAGGACATGATTCAATTGTCCTAAAGAAACCTGCAAAAATCGCGGAGAGGGAATATTAGAGGAATCTGTAGTAGATATTGATCTTGTAATCCAGTCTCTAACTTAGTGAAATCGTGTAATAGGAGAAATGCCTCTTTAAGATTACCAAAGTAACATCTTAAGTACCCATTTTCTCCTTGAAAAACACGCTTATTCCTTGTAATCCATATAGCCCACAAAGTAGCCACGAAGGCTTGAATACGATTACTTTGGATTCCATCCTGACTATAAAAAAGTAGAATATGGCTACGGATCCAATCCTGAAGAGAAGTGGAGCCCGTTGATTTTTTTGCAGTTCGGTATCCGGCAGTTGTCCCAAGCATACCGAGCTATTGAACAGTCAAGAAGGAGGTGAAAACCATCCTCCTCCTTTAAACCGCAATAGTCACATAATGTATCAGTGATAATTCCTCTAGCTCGAAGATTAGCTTTGACAAGAATTCCATTGACAGCAAGTTTCCATAAGAACGTACGCCATTTGGGGGGGATGTCTAGGTGCCATAAAATTTTGTAAAAATCAAAGATTTCTTTTCTAGGGGGGTGGGACTCTCTCCCTGCTTCAGGATTTGCTAAAGAAGCATACCCCATTTTAACAGTATAGGTTCCTGTTTTATGCCAAGGCTAATACAAGAAGTCTTCCTCTTCCTCTGTTGGGAGATCGATAGTTAAGATTTCCTGGGCACTTTCCCACTCAAAATGTTCTCTGACAACTCCCACATTCCAGGATCGAGTAGGAGTAATAAGATAATTGACCTTCCATGATGCACTTTGTCTGAGATTCTGGTCTGAGTTTACAAATGGAACTTTGTTATTAACCCAGTTTGAGCTTGAAGTAGGAGGTTTGCGCAAGTCACTTTAAGGACAAAAGATACAATCAGATTTCGCATTATAAGCTTAGCAGCAAGTAGTTGAGGATTGGTATGCATTATGTGGATAATTTTTAAATAACAAGGCCTTATTGTAAAAGCTAGCAGATCGGATTCCCAAACCCCCCATTCCTTTAGGGTGTTGTACTTGTTGCCTGTTTATCCAATGAACGCCTTTCTCTCCACTTTTAGCCCACCAAAAACCTAGTGAAAAGGGAGTCTAGTTTATTGGAGATGGACATCGGAAGCTTGCAAGTCTTCATAGCATGAGCCACCATTCCCAATAGGACAGAGTTTATGAGAATGAGTTTGGCACTTTCTGAAAGTTTGCAGTGTGCCCAATAAATAAATTTCTTTTTTAATTCGTTCAACTAGATCCACAAAGAAAGAAGCTTTCCTCCCAGAAAGGTCGATAGGAACTCCCAAGTGCTTCCCCATGTTATCAATAATGGGGACTCGGAGGATAGATTTAAAAGAAATCGCGTGTCTCAATAATGTGCCTGTTATCAATAATGGGGACTCGGAGGATAATGGTGATCTTCCATATGTCTTCTCGGGATGAAAACATATTGAAAATCCAAAATCAAGAGAGGAAGAACCAGTTTTAACCATGATATACGACATTTAGCAATACACTTATAGACTGTATTACAAAGACTTATCGGCCTAAACTGAGAAGCCAGTTCCGAAGTATCAATTTTAGGAATCTTGACTAACAGAGTCGAGTTTAGCTCCTGAAGAAGAAAACCCCTATTGAAAAAATGTTGAACACTTTTAGTAACTATGTATCCAATTGTATCCCAATTTGCGTGAAATATTTCGGTAATGCAGCCATCGGGGCCTAGAGACTTTGAACCTTTTAAATAAAAAAATAGCCGCTTTAATTTCTGCAAACTCGAAAGGTTGACATAAAACCTCACTTTGTGAAGGTGAGAGAGAGGGAAAATGTAATTGTCGTAGTAACAAATCAATATGATCCTCTTGAGCGTAATCAACAGTCGGCACAAAGACAACTTTTAGAGAGTTCACAATGAGATTAGAGACTTGGTAATGTCCCTCCACCCACAAATTATCCTCCGAACGTAGAGTAATAATCTCATTTCTTGCCTTCCGAAGTTTAACCTTATTAAAAAGGCGCTTAGAAGGAAGATCACCATCCTTAATCCACTCACATTTCACTCGTTGCCTCCAGAATTGAATTTCCAGCTTGCATTTCGGAATAAAGGAATTCACACGATCAAGATAGTTGTGCGCATCATTAAGAGAAGAAATATTATTTCCAAGCACATCTAACTCCTTCGATATTTCCCTCCAATTTTTACCCCACAAATTCTTGTGATTAAGACACCATTTTTGAAGCATACTTCAAATTTTTTGAAGTTTCTGTACTAAGCAAAAAGGATAAGAGGCACGAACATTAGTAACTTTCCATTCCGTATCAATAATATTCCTTACCTTCGAAAAACCCAAGCACCTAAGTTCAAGTTGATACGGCCGAGTAGAACGGATGGTAGTTGGATCCGAATCATAGAGAATAGCAGCATGATCAGAGACAAAGATAGGTTCATGAATAATACGGCCATTCGGAAATTCCTCAAACCACTTCGGAGTCACATAACCTCTATCTAATCTTTCTAGAATCAAATCCAATTATAGTATTTTATTTGTTCAAGTAAACCTTAGACCCGAGAAAGGAACATCAAGAACCTCATTACACAATCTCCAATCAATAAAATCATCAACCCCTCTTATAATAGTATTCCCTCCCAATTTATCTTCCAAAAAGTCAATTGGTTAAAATCCCCAAGTAAAAGGCATTTTGGATAAGTTTGAATAATAAAAGAAACCTCATTCCAAACTAAAAGCCTATCTTCAAGACACTGGGTACCGTAAACAAAAGCTACATATTTAATTTCATCATTAGGATAAACTATTTTACAAAGGATGACATTAGTAGAAGAGAAAATACAGGTCACCATAGAGCTAGTCCAAGCAAAAACCATAAGACCCCCCCTAGTACCTATCGCATCAACCCCAAAAGAGGTAGTAGGAGTAAAAATATCAAGTAAAGGCCTAGTCACATCAACAACTACTTTAGTTTCCAATAAAAATAAAAACATAGGTTTTTTTACGAAACAAGCCACACAAGGTAAGGACGTTTAGGGGCGTGTGGATCATTGAGACCCCTACAATTCCATGAAATACACTTCATATTCCCATTGGGTGGTGAACCGATGCAGCAACCTCATCTTGCATTTCCAAGTTGGGACACACTAATTGTTGATTTGCTTCCCAATCCATGCCATCAGCCGAAGGAGTCATTCTATTAGCACAAAAGACAAAGGGTTTCAACTTTTTCATAGAAATAGAACTTTTCAAATCAAGAGAAGAAGAAGGCGAAGGAGATTTGCGCTTTCGAGCCTTGGCTAGAATATCCATGTCAACTTTCAGACCTCATTGTCGCGCCATGTCTTCATCCGATATAGCTTTCGAGATGAAAGTGTGTTTCCCTGTACCATCACGCCACCAAAGAGCAAAAGCACCTTTATTAGACCACCTGTTCAAAGTAAAAGCATCCTTTTTCACCCCAATTATAATCTGTGAAACTTTCTCTGAGATTATCTCCACCTTCTGATTGTGTTGTTTTCTTTTTCCTATCAAAATATGAAGTCTTTTTCGGACAAGAGAGAACCGGAGATGGATAATTGAAGAGATCGTCGACATTGATTGAAGTAATTGGAGAAGCTGGGGAGTCGGTGGATCGAATTCAGTCAGAGTGAGATTTGGGAGATTTCCCCAAAAGATCTGGGTGAATACGGCAGAAACGACGGCCATGACACCCTAGGGAAAGGGTGGACTCGTAAACCCGATAACCTGAGAGAACGAGCCAATTGACACCCTGCTTGTATAAAGCAATTGGCGGTGTTGGTGATGTCATTCTCTATCGGAGAGATTAGATCGACCATAGGTTCAGCCATCAAATTAAGGAGCCTTGTAGAAGGTTGAGGAAGGCTCATAGACGGTGGCACCATGATTGAGAGGTCGGGGAAGGAGAGTGCACCTGTTGAAGCCCGCCTTCTGTAGAAGAAAGTTGGCTTAAAGGATGATTCGCCAACTTCAAAAGTTAAACCAGTAACAAAGAGGGCAAAAGGTTGATTAATTAAGCCTTCTGAGATTCGAGCAGAAGGTGGGCTCCTCCCCCTATTTTCGAGAGTTTGCACGGTTGAATTTGGGGTGTGAACCACCAGATCGAGGCCAACACCTGTTGAAACAGTCATAGCAGCAGAAAAGGAGTTCGCAAAAGGAACTTGAGTAGAGTTAGAGATTACCACACGAGAGGCCTCATGTGTGCCTCTAGGAGACGCATCACGCTGTTAGAAGGGAAGAATTGAGCATAAGGATCTCTACCAAATCCCAGCCGAGTTCTAGGAGGCTTATAGCCCTAGAGAGAGCTCCATTTTCAACCTCAAGAAATTTTTCTGAGCAAGTAAAGTAATCCTTAGAAGCACTACTTCCAGAATTTTTCAATGAGTTCCAAGAGTCAGAGTTGCCATCTCCATTGAGAATGCGGTCTTCTAGAGGTATATCTTCTGGTTCCTCAGGTCGAACAAGATGTGCTTCTGGGTTCCTATATCTATCACTGTCAGGAAGGCCTCTAATGAAATTAGTGTAGTAATTATGGTCATGGGGGCCATATATGACCCTCATGCCATGATTTTCAAGAGCAGCAACACGACATTTCAACCGCCGTTTGGCCACTTCTTTCTTAACCTCGCAACGCTCTCTTGAGTGTCCTTCAAAACCACAATTTTTGCAAAAACAAAATATGCCCTCATATCTAAAATAAACCCAGATGATTCTATCACCTTCTAGCGGCACAAAACAGCCAGGAATTAGAGGTTGTGTGAGATCAATAGATAATTTCACACGCGTATCAGCAGAAGGAAGAAGACCCTGACCCATGAATTCAAACTCTTTTATATAACCAACATGAGACAGTATTTGAGAAGCCCATTCACGCGTCAAATCACTAGGCGAAAATTGGTAATCAGCACCGGTTTAAAACCCCCAATTAGCACCAGTTTTAAACCAGTTCTGATTTGAGGGATGCCAAAACCCAAGACTTTTTGCATCGATACTTGTTTTGAACCGGTGTGAAAAATTCCCTAAAAAAATTAAAAAAAAAAAAAAAACTTTTCGCACCGGTTGTTGCTGTAAACCGGTGCGAAAAGTCCTGGTGCGCCTTTTTTTCTTTTTTATACTTTTCGCACCGGTTCTAGCTGTTCCTGCATTAATTCTACCATTATTATATATTATAATAACAATAATAATTATTATTATAATATTATAAATAATAATAATAACAATAATAATAATAATAATAATAATAATAATAATAATTTCTAAATTGAAATAATAACAACAATACATAGATATTAATTAATAATCCCAAATGCAATACAATGAAGTGTCATATTTACAATTCCTCCAAAAAAAAAAGTGCTATATTACAAACAATACTAATCAATAATATAGTTAACAAGTTCAAATAGAAATGACATTTACAAATTAAATGTGATGAAAGACGCCAACATGCCTCGAACTTCATTAAGTTCCTTGCTCGTCAACGGACCTCCTTTTTGTACCTTGAAAAACTTGGAATAAAAAAAGTATGTTAGAATTAATTACTTAGGTTATGCATTTAAAATACATTTACAAGTT